GAGTTGTAAGCCAGAAAACAAAACAAATGGTTTATCACTGGGAAAAAACGATCTGCTGCGTTCTACTTCTCATCAATTCCCTTCCTATAACTTAAAAGATCTGGGCCGATAGGTTAAAAAGGCAAAGACTCGAGCCTGGGTCCTGTCAGGTAAATTCACAAGCTTTTGTGCTCGTTACCTCACACACTTTGCTTTTAAAAATCTGCTTTGCTTAACACGTTTCACCGATTCCATTACGTTACTCGTCCTCAGTCATGACCTCAGCCTGGTAACTAAATTCCTGCCCTACAGTTTCAATTACAAAAAAAAAAAACAAAAAAAAAACCCATAAGTACAGTATACAAGGGTAATACCACAAAGGAGTAAATTTAGATTACGTTTATACCATCTTACCATTCTATAAAAAGGTACTTAAACTATTTCTTTTGCATATAAAGAGATTAGAATATTTGGTCAACTGGAAATATTGCTAGGCACAGATGACAGCAACGGCATCAGAAAGTATAATACAAGAATTAAAACAAAAAGCTCAAATGCTGAAGACACGCTATAAGAATGATGGCAGAGCTACATCGGTCTTGGTAATCTCCAATCAGGGGCACGAAGGTGACTCCCGGGAACACCTTCCTACGTGTGGGGTACCCAATAATTGTTCAACTCCTAGCCAAGTATTTAGATATATATATATACACACACGATTTTGACAAGCTGAATGATTCGTCTTCACAAGTGTCCAACAGTGGTTAATTCTGTATTGTGATCAACACTCTTGTGAAGGGCAGAGCCTGTTGGCTTGCGCTATTGGAATGGAATGGAAATTTGGTCTCGGGAACGCTTCCCCACCCAGACCTTTCTGCTTGGTCTGAACGTTACGGACAAAGGATCTTTAACAACTCCCACTTGAAGGTTTGCAGATGGCGATAAACCACGAGCAGATTGGGAAGTGGCACGGAGACACATGATACTACGCAGATTGAGACATTTCACAGGCAGCAGATACGACTGCCTCAAGAGTCAGAGCCCAATATTTTCTTTATCCACTTTGCCAGCTTCACTCGTCCTTCACTACAAGCTGATCCAGTAAGCCAGAGCTCAGGTATTCCCCTCAGCTCTCCCAATCCACTCCCTACGGTTCAGATGTTTTCCCCAAAGAAGTAAAAGGTTTAAGGCACAGGACAGCAGATGCACAGTTAAGGTAGGATCAATGCAACTTATTTTTGTGCTGGGCGAGTTGGGAGCTCCTGTACACCACGCGTTTTGCAAAATCCTGACTCAAAGGCGCTAAAGTGAATTCACACAGTGGTTTTAGGTCTTTCAAGGCATGGATGGGTAAAGAAAATAAAAAAGGCATCAATGTGAAACCTGATAAACGTGTTAGGATCTGCTTTTTGGGGGAGAAGGAGCAGGAAGGGAGGGGAATTTCCCAGAGCAGGTTCCGAAGTGTAAACTTCAACTTGTGATTTTTATTTGAACAGTCAAGATTGTTACCCATCACCGCAAGGTTAGCAATATGAATTAGATTTAATTTTTTTTTTTTTTAAAAACCGGTAAACTGATTTCTCTTTAAAAAAATAAAATCTCTGGTCTTTTAAGGTCACTTCAGCTGCATTTTTAAAGTGGCTTTTTTTCTGGAATGATGGAAGTTGAAACCCTAGCGTTCAGCCTTTTAAGGTCAAGGCTGAACCCCAGAGGTTTTAAGTCAAGTCCATTTTGTCTCCCGCCTTCCAAAGCTTTAAATGGTGGACTTGGAGAAGGACACACGCAGGTGATGGTTCTCACCCAGGTCATGGTTATGGAGGTCAATGAGCGATTGAATGGCTTCTTCCACAGAGCCCATCTGGATCAGAGCCATTTTGCGGTCCTTCCTGACAAGACAGAAGTTCAAGTCACATTCAGTACAGCCTAACTTGATCCAAGTTCTCTTACCTAGCACTCAAGGCCAGCAGAAGATTAATTACCCAGGTAACCACAGTGAACTTTGTTTCATGGAAGAGCACCTATGATATACACACCCCTATCCAAGCTTTGCACTCTGCTGCCTTCGTTTTCTTCACCAACTCATACTCACCATGCACTCAATCCGGAGTTACTCTGAAATTCTTTATTCCAGAGTCAAATACTCAATCAGTGACAATTCTGCTCCCCTTTCACTCAGCCCGAGTTGCAATTTGAGAAGAACTGAGTACTTCTGCCCTTCTCATACTGCAAAGCTCAGAGTAAGGACATGATGTAAGAGAAAACACTTACTGGAAGAATTTGAATCCTTTGACCATCCCACCATTGCTTGAAAACAACATCTTAAGGTCTTCTTCAGTTATTGAAGGTCTGAAACAAACAGTTTTTCCAGTCAAATGTACGTCGACAGACTAAATTAATATCTAAAAACCAATTCTCAGAGCTTTTTCTAGATTCTCTGCCAGCAGCTTCTTGGACTGGAGAAGCTATGAGGGGAACAAGAAGGTGGGAAAGCTTCCCTCCTGCTAGCAGCAAAGAGCTGGCTGCATTTACTCTCATGCTAACAGGGCAAACATTTTCATACTCGGCCATATAGGAAGTCTCCATGCGGGTACTTACGGAATATTGGACAGATGAAGAGTGGCAGAAGGGGGAAAGATGTTCTGGAAATTTTTGGAGCCTGGTTTCTTGAAACGATGTAGAGGAGAATTCCCATAGTCCTTGGTCAGACCTTGGTCTTCCTGTCCCTCGCGAGGGAGCTGTACAGTCTGGTGCTTGGACAGCGTGATACGGATTGGCTTCCCGTGAAGCTTCTGACCATTCAAATGGCTCATGGCTGCAACAGTTAAGGACAGCACTCACTACAGCGGTACTTCAGTTCCGTTCAGACGTTCAAGTCAAGGCTAGAAATCTGTTCTAGTTCTTCCCTGTGCAGACGCTGCATCCCCCAGGAACTGCACGACAGGCACCGTTATTCTGCCTGTATCATTTGTTCTATTTTCCCTCTGGATTATCTTGCACAAGCAAGCCATACCTTTTCCAGAGCTGCCCCAAATCCATGCTACATACGCAGGCAAGCAATTAAGTGCACAGACACACACAGGTTTTGGGTCTTCTTTTTGGGAAGAGAGTACTGATATTAAAGCTTTAATTACCCATTAGGCCTCTTAATGCTAACAGTCTGATACTTTTAAGCTTGCTTACCAAGCTGGGCCTGGTTTCCATCAGCCATCTGCACTAGGGCATTCTCTTTCTTATTAAATAAAATCTTCACCCTCTGCACATCACCATAGACTCCTTCAAAAAGGGAGGAAACAAGAACAGTCTTAGGTAGGGGAAAACACGAAGCCTCATTCAACTTTATTATTAGCTAATCAATCCAACAGCAAAAAAACATTCATTCACAACCAGAACTGATCTCATTCCAACCACGGTTACTTATTCTGCTCTAATTAAGGAAAATTCTTATGTAGCAGAATAATAATGGAACAATACATTAAAGAAAAGATACTGGGTTTCAGCAAAAAGCAAAAATCTTACTGCCAGAAGACTGGACAATTTGGCATGCTATCACAATTTAAAACTCTTATAAAAGACATGCAAAGCAATAAACCATGCATAACTGAACATAAAATAAAGCAAACTAAATTAAATAGCAAACTAAGTAAACAATGTAAAAATGAAATTATGCATTCAAAAAATGGCAAACTGCAAACTGTACATTTCTGAAGTATCAAAAAGTAATCTCAAATAAATGAAAAACAAGGTAATAAAAAGTGTGAATAATAACATACCGAAAAGAATAAAGAGGCATTGGGGTGTAACTCTCTTTAGAGAACAGCAGAGCAAGGCAGCGGAGGGACAGGGAAGAGGTAAGGAATCGAAGGGGAGAGCGAGGTTGCACAAATCGTCCACAACGAGGAAGGGCAGAGTCCCCGCAGGAAATGGCGAAATTGGTTGATGGATGATGAAGTTTTCAAGATGGTTAATATTGAAGGGCAGGTTGGTTTCCGAAGAGCAGGGTTTTTTTTTTTTTTTTTTTTTTGGAAGGGGAATGTTTTTATTTTTTGTTTCAAGCAACAACAGGAAGCAGAAGTACCGTGCAGTCAGTTGGCAAAGAAATTCCGGATCAGGGGAAGAAAAAAAATTCAGGGATGGGGAGAAAAGAAAAAAGTAGCAAAAAACACAGGTCAGTAAATACATAAGGAAATATGTAGTGTTCCATCAGTCAGATTTATAGAATTCTACATACAATAACTCGTTTACAGAAACAGTTAATGGGTTTTACCTAGTGGAACACAATGATAAAGAAAAGGCATTTTTACTTAAGATATACAAAGAAGTAAGAGACAGTATCACAACAGAGTGACTCCGCAGGCTTTAATGTTGACCTAAATTGCAATAGTGGTCCCCAAAATTTGGCTAAAAATTGTTTTCTCTGATTCGAATAATTTTTAAGAAATGGCTTCATGGACAAGTGAAAAAAAAGCCGCTGTGTGTGCTGCTTTAGGTCCAGCGACGGCAGGAAGCAATCCCTACTGCGATACGTCGCTGTAACAGAACAAGGGGAGTCCAGTTCAGGCACCAGTCGCTGCCTTTTGATCCAACGAGCAGCCGTACCCCTGCAAAACCACCCCAGAGGTCTGCTAGAAGCGCTTGCAAGAAAGGAACCGGGTGCCTCACTTGCAAGAGAGATCTATTCTCTTCCACCTCCGCAGCTTGACCTCACCATGCGGAAACCCCAACCTGCTGTTACTCAGCCAGAGGGGCAGGAAAAGCACCTCTGCTCCCAGCACCAACGCTGATTTTGCATGCAGGCAGCCTGCATTCACAGTCCAAGCCCATGCAAGCCGAGGCACACAGACCCCTTCCACTCATCATGGAGAGGAAAAATGAAGCAATTTCAGTTTGCATGATTCCGATTCAGAAAAAGCCTTGCGTGTTATCACAGAGTAGTCACTCCAGAGGAATACTGTCTCTTAACCAACCGCTTGTGGCACAGGTAAGTCTCTACAACACTGATTACACAGGCAATGGAAAAAGTTTCAGGTCTGTTAGTTCACAGCTTCAGTACAAGTATCAAAGTCTCTCTAGCCCAAAGATAAGCTGGATGGATAGTGAAGAGCTCATTAAAAAAAATACAAGGCATGAAATAACTGCTTGCTCCTACTTGAAGGAGAGCTGCGTGCACCGTTCAGGCACTGCTCAGAGCTGCGAGCACGTGCAAATTAAACAGAGGTACAGCACAGCCCCCTCTCCTGCCCCCGCCATCCAGGCAATGCAAAATCATCCCAAGAAACACATGCTTGACTGTATCACACTGGTAGAGAGTAACGATGCCAGCTCTTAATGCTTAAGACTTTTGTTTGAACGGCAAGTCATTGGGCCCAAGCCAGAGGTGACAGCTCCTGGAGTGGCAGAGGAGTTCCTAGGTAGAAAGAGCAACTCATCCAAACCAAAGCTGTATCTCAGCCCCTGCCATTATTTCATGCCCTGGAGAAAACAGTAACGACAGATCAAAAGAATAGTCTGAAATACTGATTCAATTGGTTAATCTCATCAAGCGTTAAATATTTTGACCATTCATCACATCCAGGCTTCCCCTTTGATGCAGAAGAGGTTTGTGGTTACTGACATCACTGTCAGCTCATAGCTTTGCAGAGTGGTGTTGGCTTGTGTGCACAGTCCCACCACTTAAAGTGTTTTTCAGCAGAGACTCATCATGTTCTGCTGCACACACCAGGAGATTCTACACTTTCAATCCAACAGAGCCAAAAGCTGACTGAAAAAAAAAAATCCAAATATACCTGTATCAAATTCCCTCACCAGGCTGTCTTTCATTAAAGAGCATTTTTGGTCAATATTACTTGCTTTCTTTTTAAAGAGACCCAAATAGTTCAACTCACTAAGTTAAGTGGAATTGAAAATGTAAACTGTGAGCTGTTAAGGGGCTAAGGAAAAACTTCCAGGAATTTTGGAAAGGGAAAATGTGCAAGCACATGGCAGAGGAAATACTGCACAGGTACAAAGTCAAGCTGGCAGGGGTCCAGACACTACACAGAAAGAGCAAAGGTCAGAACGAACTCTCTCTGTAGTTCTGAATTAATGTATTAAAAACTAGAACATGCTCAGGAAAAGAAAGAATGGACATGACTGTTCTGTGACCCAAACAACACTGGTCCATGGGGATGGCAGGGAGACTCCAAATAACAGAGGGAGCAAGGGACAGGCATTGTAGTCTTTATGGGACAAGAGCAGGCAGGCAGCATCCTTGGCTTTGAACCAAAGAAGAGCAAGGCTTTAATTTGAGACGGACTTTCTCATTTCCCTTCAGCAACTAGAGTACTGGTCTGCTTTGAGTTTTAGAGCTGGCAGAGCACATCATCTGCTCTTCTAGTTTTGCCGTTTCCTTTAGGATACAGTAGGATTTCACTTTCAATGAGTTTCAGCACAATCTGTGTTCAGAAAGTGAAAGCAGAGGTAACAGGAAGGAGAAAGAAGTAAAGTTAGGACTCCACTAACCTCAGGATTCAGATTGCTAACCAGCAGAACAGAGTTCCCTGCCCCAGCGAGGCCGGGAATGGCAATCCGTCCTGCTGCAGCCGCTGCAGCTGCTGCTGATGGGATAGCCAAAGGAGCTAGTGCTCCATGAACATTTGGAACTGTCAGGCCTGGAAATTAAAGAATATTAACCAGTAAAGAGATTAACAGCACGTACTCTAGTGTATTCGCTGCACCAGAAGGGAGAACAGCACACCTTCCGTAGCATGCAAGTTAACCATCCAAAACACAGTGACCATGAATTCCAAGAGCAAGAGGAGCCTCCAATTCTGGTGCCGCAGGAAATGTTTTAATTTCTAATGGTATTTGCTCTTGCAGTGCCTGGTGCTTCAGGGGTGCCTCTCGGCACTACCTTGTTGACTACAATATTTTGCGTGTTTCACAAGAAGCGGAATCAGCACAAAGCCTCAGCTCTGCTGGTGCAGGAAAGGTGCCACAAACGGTGCATTTGTAAGGGTCTTTCCAACCAGTGCATGCCAAAACCACTTTGTTCTTTAACCATGCATGTAACAACCCGATAGCGTACACTACCACCAGCTAATCTCTTCTTGAATGAACAAACATATAGGTTTTATTTAAAGGCATTTCCAGGCTGCTCACACTTCACTGTATCAGCCCTCCAAAGGGAAGAGCTTTGAGTTCAAGAAAATCACGGGTGGCCCGTTAAGTGAAATGGCTTCTCCAAGAGGCATTGCCTGTTCCCCAACAGGGCAGGACACTAACAGAACGTTAAGGGTTCAACTGCTTGATCTGTGCTTGTTTGTCACAAGCAAGGGAACTCCATCAAGTTACAAGAAAGTCAACATAGCTTGGCATGTTATGAAAAACAAAGCAAAAATGGTTTTTGCACCCCACACATGTTCAGCACCTAAAACCTAAGCCTTCAACCTCAGACACTTCACTACTTGTAAGGAACAGTAATTTGTGACCTGCAGTATGGGCTGTAAACGTCACAGGGCAACTGTGACAGTGTAGGTAATCAGTCCCTGTTTAAACACTAGTTTTGCTCAAATATTTAGAGAAAAATGGACAGGGATTCCTTGCTTCTGACCACATTTACAGAACTCAGAGCAAGTTCCCAACCTCTGCAACTACATGAGGAAATTAAAAATACAAAAAATTTCATCTCCTACCCTATCTCCCCCAGTTATTTCAAATACTGCCTTTACTGTCTCTCCCACCCTGCTACTCCTATTTCCCTCTTGTCACTGGGATATTGCCCAGCCAGAGGCCCTACAGCTGCACTCGCATTTGTACTTGAGATCACGTACTGAAACACCATCCCCTTCCGTGCCTAAAAGTCCCACCCCAACAAAAAGAATCACTACTTAGCTTTAAAACATCAAGAAGCTTCAGCAACAGAAAACCTATATAAAAATTCAACTTACGAAATACAGTACCTGCAGCCTGAGGAATTGCAAAGGTAGGAGGAAAGCCAGCTCCCGCATATGGAGAAGCGGAAATTATTCCTGGGGCACCTGGGAAAGATACATACATGATCCAACACCCAATAGCAAGAAGACTCTATAGACTGAGCTGGAATGCCTTGATGCATCCTTCAATATAAGTATTCAGCTGAAAGCTAAACCCCAAAGCAAAAAGTAATTCAAAAATGCCTTGTTTGTAATTTCCTGAAGCTCAGCATTACAATAACCACTCCTCCTCCAGCTGCTGTTCTGAAACAGCTATTAGGATATCGCTGTTGACCAGAACAACAGCTAGCAGCTCCTGTAGCTGTTTAACCACAACACAGTTTTCGAAGTCTAGGTTACACCACCCCAAACTATCGCTGAGCCCATACTGTAGGCAAAACAGCAGATGGCACTACAAGTACAGACAGCTGGAAAACCTCAAACAGTCCTCGCCCAAATGGGGAAGGGCTTTCCAAAGCACAGCACACACCCACACCCCTATGTTCCTACTATTATTTTGCACTAGTCTGACCCAGTGGTTCCCAAATTGTCCTCATTAGTCACACTCTATTCCAAATTTTGTATGACCAAATACACCAGGCTCACATCCCCTCCCCTTCCTCAGCTGACAGATAGATCAGTTACGTTTATCCTGCTCCCACTGCAAGAATTCTCACCAAAAGCAGCTGCCATGGTCTGATCGAGGGAGGGCTGGTTATCCCCGGAAGGTAGGTCTGGTCGCGTATAATCTCTGCTCTTATCATTATTGTATTTTACATTGAGACTTGTGAGCTTTGAGAAATCTATGCGCAGTGTGCAACAGGCATTGTAGATATTCTGTCCATCTAAAGACTGCAAGGAAACAAACCAGTCTTCACCCAAGATGCATTTACACTACGATCACAGCAACAAATCTCTGAAGAGAGGAGGTGTTACATCGCCCCAGGAACCCACATGCACCTTCAGGTAGAGCAGGTATCTTGCTTTGTGTGGGGAAAGCACTGCTTCATTCTATCCCCTTCAGGCTTCAGCCCAGTCAGCCGTGCCACTTTCGGTGGGGAAAGTCCCTCCCACTCGCCCCCGTCACCAGCCATTAACACCCCCATAAACCCAATACGACCACCAAATACTCCAAAACATTAGTTTCTAACATTGATCCTAGATTAATAAAAGCAAGCCTAAAAGTTAAAGTAACTCAGGTGTTCAGCGCTGCAAGCACACTACTTACCAGTTTGGCATGCTGAGCGCTCACTGGGTCAGCATATTGTAACAGCGCCTGAAACTGGTTGTTCTTTGTGAACGTAATTATCTTCAAGACTGTACCAAATTTGGAAAAAATCTGCAAGATAATATTTGTACATCTTGTTATCTCTTTTCCAGTAAGTTAACTGCATCTCGATCCCCGTTATTAGAAGCAGAAACAACACAAGTTATCCTTGCACCTTGTTAGCTTGCCCACTGGAAAATTCAAGGTTTTAAACTAGTGTGGGCATTGCTTAACTCGCATCACGGCATCAGACCAGAAAAACAGCAGGGTGACCAAGTTTTTGTTTGTTATGAATTCTTACACAGAAAGATGCACATACACCTTCACAAACGGGAACTTCTCTGAGGATTTCAGGACTCTGAAATGCAGTCAAGTTTGCATTTTAAACATGGAGATTAAGTTAAGCAACCACAGCAGGAACTTTCCAAATAGGCAACTGCCTAAGTAACTCCCGGACACTGTCTTTGTCTCCCCCTGCCCTCGCACAAGGACATGTAGCAGCTGCTTCTGCTAAATCCTAAAGAGAACTTGAAGAGCTGTCTTGAAAACAAATATTTGTCCCTCACACTGAATCAGATTGCCATCCAATTAAAATGGACCAGCAATCTAATCTCTAGAAATTAAAGTCTGTCCAGATTGGCACCAAAAATAGAAGAATCTCGTGTAGGTGTCAGGGTCTCCAGAAAGCAGAAATGTTCAGACTGTGAATCACACAGATAAAAAGCACGTGCTGTTAGAATGCGGACACTGCAAATACAATTCACTGTTTGTTGCTGCCCTGTCCTCCAGGAAAATCTTCAAGAAGCTGCGGTGACGTTTTACCTGATGCAGAACATCTAGAGTGACAGGGTAGAAGAGATTCTCAACAATGATCCTCAGGACAGGGCTCTGGCCAGCTATCGCCATTCCTGCATCCACTGCTGCAGCAGAGGCTGACAGCGCTAGGTTTCCAGACTGAACGGAGTTCACCGCTTGCAGAGCTGCTTGGGCACGCTGCAGAACGAAACATTCTGTTAGACCAACACTTCTGCTTGCAAAAACGGACACGCAGCTTTTTTTTTTTTTTGAGCTTCCTATCTGCAAACTACTGGCAGAACAACAGACAGCAATTTACTGTTCCTAAGACTGAGAATGTAGTGGCCTTCGCACGTTTTAAACGTGGACAATACAGACTGCCCCCATCAGCAAGAGCAGTGCAAAACCACAAACTGAATAAAATATGAAGTAGTTATGCTACTGCTAGAGCCTTGCTCAGCAACTACCATGTGCAAAGTTATCCCACTGTTCAGAAAAAAGGAAAAAACGAGGCTTTTCTGGGGTGAAATACCATCTCCAGAATAGTGCAGAAGCTGGCAAGGTGGAAAGCTTAATGCCCATCTCCCATAGGGATGCAGGAGTGAAAACTGACTCAGTTTTCCTGCAGAGTCCCCCTCACGCATATAACACTGATGTGCTCACTGATGCACATCAGATTCTGCCTTTGTTGGATGCACCCAGCAGCAGCCTTTCAGCTGCACAGCATCAGATGCTCTGATCCTCAGGAAAGTCAGCCTGAAAAGTGAGCGGAGACAAACTGGACGTACTGGGCAGCCACCCCTGATAAGGAGGCACGAGTAACTTGAACTTCTTTCCAGTGTTCCTGTCCTGAAAGATTGCCAGGAGCAGCTGAGCCAGAAAAGGGAACTTTTTACGCTGTGCAGAGCATATCTTGCACAGGAACTCCACCCAGCCCAAAGCCTTAAGAGCGGCTGTGCTCAAGTGCCGCCCTCCTCAAAACTAGCACTTACCAGCAACAGATTGCACTCTACTGCAGACACAAGTCTTGCCCTGTCAGAGCTTCACTTCATAGGTATCTTCCAAATGTTAAAACAAACATCCTAAAGCAAGGACGTTAATCAAGTGTTTGGACAGGTATTCAGTTACTGTTTCTAACTGAAGAGTGCTGAAAGACCATTTCTCACGACCTCTATTCGCTAGGCACTGTCTTCCCCTGATATTAAGGCAGTTTTTGCAGCTCATTTAACGGCCTGATTTAACTTTGGATAAAAGCGATTACAGGAATCCTCATTCCATAAGCTGGAAGCTAGCACGCTCTGTTAGCACTTTGATAGTTAAACCAAACCTCAAAACCCTCCCAGGCCTACAGCAGCAGCACAAATCGACGCAGCAGCAGAACTGTCTATCCCTCCCACCGGTGTGACAATGTAAAGAACAAACTAACTGCTTGGTTTGGAGAGTTGTCCGTCTTGAGCTCCTTGTGGTTGGAGAACTGGATATAGATGGGCTGGCTTCGGAGAACTGGAGTGACTGTGGTGTAGTAGTTGACCATGGTGTTGGCTGCCTCCTCTGTATTCATTTCTATGAAAGCCTGCGCAGAAGTCAAACCCAACATTGCAACGTTATCAAAGCAACTCGCACTAGGAACCAGCATTAACACCTGATGGCATTACACGATCGATGATTTCAGGAGGAACTTCCAGTTGAATTTTATTTGATCTTCACCACCACATTTAGATGCAAGTTTCTGTACACAGCACTGTTTCACTGACTGTACGTAGAACACGAGGTGTCCCTGCTCACTGCAGGGGGGTTGGACTAGATGACCTCTCGGGGTCCCTGCCAACCCCAAACATTCTATGATGATCTTCACTGTCCAAACTGACTACGCAACATTTCAGTCTCATCCCAAGAGCCCCCATGCCACACACTTAGGAAGCTGGCAGTGACAGCAGTGTCTGCAGGACCACAAGAATACAGCACTAATCCAGACTCCTAACACTTCTATCACGCAGCTCTCTGTGCCTCTCTACAGAGCAGTAAAGCCCACTCACTGCTCCGTACCTTTAGGGTCTTCTCTACTTCAAAACAGAGACGTAAGGGACCGCAGCAAGTCACTGCATTAAGTACTTACATATAATCACACCATGCAATATATCAGAGGCGCATTTTCATAATTAAGATTAAAGACACGGTATTTTAAGCAATGATTAAAGTTGGCTTGCTTTTTTACTCCTTAATTTGTAAGACAATTTTAGTTACCAAATTAGTGCACACCTTCTGCATTACCCAAGAGTGTGCTAGCTTTACCCAGCTAATTTATTGTATCTGTAAAGGTGTCCTTAATATGCGAAGTTACCCTGGTGGTTACTCAACTGTCAAGCCAGCTTGAGTGAAAAAGGCCAACTCATGTCACTGCTGTCCAAATAATTCATCTGGTCTGTAATTTAAAAGCCAGGCATAACGCTAATTATAAGTGACACCCTGTAATTATGGACTTAGCTCCTCGTACAGTCTGAAAATAGTATTTTCTGCAGCTCATGGGATAATCATGGAGAAGTAAAATAATAGTATGCAGAAGTTATTGACTCCTAATACGTGACAGTTGTTTAAACAACTCTGATCTGGTTTGCTAATGACCAACTCATCAAGTCTTTGACATAATCCCCGCTTTCAATTACACAGACAATACCTGATTTTTGCCTTTCAACATTAGAAGATTGGTGACCTTGCCGAAAGGTAAGCCCAAAGAAATGACCTCTGCCTCCGTGACGTCGCTGGGGAGTTTACGGACGTGGATCACTCGGGATGGGACCCCAGCACTTCTACTATCGCCTTTGAATTTTTTGCTGTCGTTTCCATTAGCTGTAAAAAGCAAGAGTTACTGCTCATTAGAGTGGGCTTGAAAGAATACACACGCACTTACCACTTTTGACATCGGGCTGTGCTCCCCATACACTTACTACTCCATTAGACAGAGCTTCCGTAGTCTAATTTAACTGGAGTCTGGAGTTGCGTGGGTTTCTCTTTCTCTTCCCAAGTTACATTACACAAGTGACACAGCTGAACGCCACTGCAATGGAATCAAGCTCCCCAGTGGCAGCTTTGCAGGGTGTTTACAGTACACACCCTCCCACATTTCTACTTTGTGTGGGTCTGAGCCACTAATCCTAGACGGCTGCTTTACTCCTTTTCATGTTGACTGGTATCCTTGGCAGTGAGGTGGTTTGAAGGGGACATCTTAAAGCAAGTGATATTAAAACAAATATGAACCAAGAAGTCACTTTGGATCAGCCGGATTCTACACAAGGTAAAGCCTGCCAGCAGCACAGCACCAGAGACACGACCTGATGCAGGCAGGCAGGGAGGGGACTGGACCTGAAGGGACTCGAAAGACCACGGTAGCTCAAAGCAAGGCAATTCAAGGCACTGACAAGCAGAGAGGGCAAAGTTCTGGCCTGAGCACCCAAGGATGCAGTCTCGGGTGGGATTACTAACCTCCAGATGGTGTAAGGCTTTCAATAGCAGCGAGCTACTACACACAGCCAGAGTAACCTACGGGATATTCACTCGTGCTCCAAGTACAGCAGTTTACAGCAAAACCTGCACGTTCTAATCCTGTAAAACCATTTCAGCAACTACCCTGCAGCAATTGTATTCGGTCTGCTGACCTTTTAAGGGCACAGGGCAGCAGTTTATTATTCAGCACCTTCTTACAAAAGGCCTAATATGTACCGAAATGAAGATACTTTAAAATAAGTGGGAAAAAACAGAGCTCCTCATAGTATTGGCAATATTTATCAATCGCTGTTCTTTTTGATAGGTACTATTACCTGCAGAAGAAGAGTTGCTGCTCATGATAAAGGGTCCGTTAGTAACACAAGTAGAGAAAAGCTCGTCAGATCCCCGCTGGAAAAGAAAAGACGAAAGGTAAACCGACAGCATTTTTACTAAGCTCTATTCAGGTACACCTAAAGCAAAACAATTGAGATTTAAGGCATAGAGAAGCTGAACAGAAGTGTAAGTGAAAATATACTGACAGTAGGCAGTGAACCTCACCTCCACCATAAATTAAATATAAGTGAGATCCAATTTAGTAACCGAGTAGTGCTATCCAGTATCTCTCTTCAGTTACGCATTAGGCATCTTAGGAGCTGAAGCATTGCTGAATTGCCTGAAGCCACTAAACGCAGCGCCACGTGCCAATGTTCACCTTCTCCTGTTGTACCTAACGAACAGATTCCTGACATTTCCATTCTTTCTGGGTAAGCTAGAACAGCAAAACAGAGAAGCCTCCAGCATTCACCAAGAGGACAGAATATTTTACTGTAGGTTACCAGGACTAAGGAAGTCTTAAGCAAAACGCACGTTATCAGAAGCTGGCCAAAACTGTGAGTGTGAGGCTGAGCAGTTATGAACCAGAGATGTGTATTTTCCAGTTAGAAGCAGAAGATGCAACCTGGAGAAATTGAGACCTGAGAGAAATGGATCTCTTCCCCTCCCTACCCCCAAACAGGGCAGATCAGAAAAGTAAAGCTACGAGAGAAAAAAAGCTACTTTTCAAATTTTACAGCAGAAATAGGCCCACATATAACAATTTGGATGCTGGCACAAGACAGTCTGATCACTGGTTTGCTGCTCTCTGGCCACAATCCCCAGAAGAGCAGCAGCCTCTAGGACAGCAGCCCCAGAGCCTCCGTAAGTGCGTTTAGTCACAAGAGACCAGCGTTCTAAAGCAGAGACACCCGAGTGCCACAGGTACCAAGCTGTAAATCCCACCCTCCGCTGCCCCTTGCACTGCGTGAAGCCAACACAGCTGCTTGCAAGACAAGAAGCCGCAAGCAGCTCAGCATATCCCAACATCTCGGTTCCTCCGTGTTTCTCACTGCAGCACCGTGCATTTCAACTTACGGAGGAAGAAAACATGTGACAAGAAATTCTAAAGCAAGCTGTTCCTACTAGAATTAAGACTGCCTAAGCCAAGTGGCGTCGCAGAATCATAGCAATGCATTTAGCCTAGACTTCTAGCAGCCGCAGGTATAATTCCATCTATCCACACAGTTCCTGAACTGCAGGAGCCTGGCGCGTCTCCATTCCCAGCACATAAAGCTGGCCGGACCTATGGAACACATTACTGCATGCGATGTATGTGGTTCAATTCCTTACAGCATTCCCTGGAAAGTCACCCCAATCACCTCAACTGACCAAGCCTCGTCTAAGCCAAGAAGAAGGCATCAAAACCACTACCAAGACAAAAGCAGGCAAGAATACGAATTACTACTTAGCACAATCTATACTTACATACAACACAGCTTAAAATCAGTGTGGCTTAATTTCAGACAAGTTACACAGAAGACTTCAAATCCCACGGTAAACTGAGCAAACACGGCAACAGAAATCTAACACATAAAAGCATTTTCTCATCATTTTCTACGTTACTCTTACAAAGAAATGCCCCACTAAAGGCTTTCATCAACAGGAAAAAAAACAGACAGCGCTCAGCCCTGCCCTGGCCAACTGCCCCTCATCTCGATGGAAACCTACCCCGTGCACCCCAGACACTCTATCTTCCACCATGCCCCGTATCTGGTGGCACCCGCGGTAACAATATCTGCACGCCAACAGCAGCTCTCAGCTCGGCCTCCCCAGCAAACAGCCTGGAGAAGAGAAGTAGGTCACACCAGAAGCCCCGCAACACTGAATTACAGACACAGGTTTTGCTTTTTTTTTTTTTCCTTTCCCCCTCAAATCTTGAATTTCTTGTTTGACTGCTCACTGCCAGCTCTTCAGAGACGGGCTGAAGGACTTTGATGTCCTGAATACAAGAATTAGGCCAGCCCACAGTTCCTGGGCTGCTGCTGGTCACCTGCAAGCGCTGACCAGGTTCCACAAAGGCTGCTGGGCACCCAGCGAGGTCTCCTCCTAATAGGGTGTAGTAATTAGGAATAGGCCTTTTAACAGCTGTTGTAATTAGCACTTGGATTCCCGAGTCCAGCAAGAGGCAAGCTACTCTGGGAGCTATCAGACTGAGCCCATCCTTTTGATGACTCAAATGAACGCATAATTCCAAGGCTGAAAAGCCCCACCAGTTCCAGTTTACTATACGAATGCGCTGGTGCCTGA